TTGTAATTTTCTAGTTAAAAAAGGAAGTGGCACAAGGATTACAGCAATGAATGAGGAGACAGCGCAACAGAAGTATCAGGGTCCTAGTAAATAATGAATGAGGTTTCTGGTCAAAGGGTTCTTTGCAGTTTTGGTGATTGTGAGGCTTAGTTTTCTCAATGACTTTGGCTAAATACTTAACACTGAGGGCAGAGATGGGTACAGCGCAAACAACTAAAAAGCCAAAATGAAGCCAACTTCTTTGGGGTTTCCCCTCCCTAGGGGGGTGGAGGTTGGGCTGGAACTGACTTGGAGAGTCACCCCCTCTGCACTCACATGAGGACTCATCCACATACCAAGACCGCATGGCTGGCAGGCAAACAGCTTCTTCCTTGTGTTTCTCTGTCTTAGCAGGAATCTGTGCCTTTGGGAGAAAGCCAAGGTGTGCCCCTGGAGGCTGACCTTGACCCAGTGAATTAGGAGCAGGAGGTGTGATGGGCCTCGGGAGGGGAAGGGCACTGTTCTGAGTGACAGGTACATTCCCTTCATGTCTCCAGCATGTTCCCAGCACAGGATCTTTTCATTTGTTCTCCCTGCTTGAAACATACAGATCACCCCATGCCTCCCTCCCTCCTTCCCTCCCTTCACATCTCCTCAAATGTCACCTTATGTGAGGGCTTCCCTGGCCAAACTGTATGCAATAGTCCAGCTCCACCCTTGGTACTCCCTGGTTAATTGTTCTCTACAGCACTTATTACCTCATGACCTTACACTACAATTACTTGTTAATTTTCTTATTTCCTGCCTCCTCCTATTAGAATATAAGTCCCATGAAGACCAGGACACTGTTTTGCTTTCTGCTGTGTCCCCAGCACCTAGAACATTGCCCAGCACATCACAGATGCTCAATAACTATTTGCTGTAGAATGAGTGAGTGAGTGAGTGAGTGAATGAGCGAGTGAGTGCGTATGTACCACACTCTCCCAATGCTCCCTGCTCCCTGGGTCTGCCACCATCCAGGGGGTCAGAAGGACACACAATTCTCTCTCTTCCAGCCTGGACTAGCCTTGGAGATTTCCTACCCCCAGGGAACTTGATGGCCTAGGCACGAAGCACACTGTCTCTGGCCTGGTTAGAGACCACAACCATCACATGGGCTGGAAGCCAAACCTAAAAGGAGCCAGCATGAGACCAGGGCTCCACCCACATTGCCCACGCCAGGGCCCCACGAGTCTGGCAGAATTCCCTGCTGTGTCACCACAAAGAGAAAATGAGGAGAAGGCTGGGTGGTTAGCTCAGCTTGTTAGAGCATCAAGGAAGGAAAGAAAGAAGGGAGGGAAGAAAGAAAGAAAATGAGGTGAGAAACAGGCCCTGTGTTTTGAAGAGAGAACCCATGATGAGTGTTGCAGAAAAATTAGGTTAAGGTTGTTTAACACTTTCTGGAATTTCACAGGGTATAAAGATCAAGCTGGCCTGACTGTAAACAGCAAGGGGAGGGCACTAAACAAACAGCAGAACTGATAAACCCCACCAGAGCTGCTAAATAAACCATCTGAGATAAATGCCTTTGGAAGAACCAGTTAAAACACCTGGGGCTTCGAGGGGCAGGGTACCCTCTGAGCCACAGGTAGAATCAAGTGTTCTCTATAATCATGTCTTTCATAGAGTAGTTTCAGGGAAAATATTTTCCATTTCAATATTTGAAACAGTATTTTTGTTCTCTGTATACAGCTTTGAGCATTATTCTATACGGATTTTATAAGAAGATACAGTACTTTTCATGAAATGCTTTCCTGATTTACTAAGCACAAGTGCTCCTTATTATGGTGTTCTAGGATGAGGTTTTCCTTGTGAGAGCACACCACCGTTTGGTAATGAAAACAGGACTTTAGGGCTGCTTTCTGACAAGCACAGTCCCTGTACACAGGGCCCACCAGGGACCCTGTACAGGCACCTACCCATCTGCCTCCGGTGCACCACACAGAAGTTCTTATGCTCCTGCGCCGGTGCTGCCTTGGTTTTCCTGCTTCCTGGGGAAGGCACACATGCTTTGTCTAATGCCCCCAAGGAGAAGCTTTCTCTTGGTCCTTGAGAAAAATTCCTGTGAAGACCTGGCGTTGACTCTGGAGTCCCTCTGGAAGATGCTATTGAGTGATCTGAAGCCCTTTCTGAGGGTTGCTCCTGAGGAGACAGGTAGAAATCATCTTCTGAGATCCAGCTCTTTTCTATTCAGAAAGAGGACAGGTTGTTTTGTTTTTAAGGTTTTTTTTAAAAGAAATCTTTATATAGACATAATTCATGTATCGTAAAATTAACCCATCTAAAGTGTACAATTCAATACTTTTGGCATTTTCATAGAGTTGTGCAACCCTCACCACAATCTAAATTTAGAACATTTTTGTCATCCCTAAGAGAAACCCCTCCCCATCAGCAGTCACTCCCATTTCCCCCTGACCACCCCAGCTCTAGGCAACCACTAATCTACTTTCTATCTGTATAGATTTGCCCATTCTGGCCATTTCCTTTAAATGGAGTAATGTATGGGGCCTTTGTGACTGGCTTCTATCCCTTAGCATGATGTTTTCAAGGTTCATTATGCCGCAAGCCTGTATAAGTATTCATTCTTTTTTATTGCTAAATAATATTCCATTGTATGGATGCCCCACATTTGGTTTATCTACTCATCAACTGATGGACATTTGGGTTGTTTCGACTTTTGACCATTATGAATAATGCTGCCATGAACACTTGTGTACAAGTTTTTGTGTGGGCTTATGTTTTCATTCTCTTGGGTGTATACCCAGGAGTGGAACTGCTGAACCATGTGACTTGCATTTCCTTAATGACTTGTGGTATTGAGCATCTTTTCCCGTGCTTGTCATTTGTACATCTTCTTTGGAGAAAAATCTATTCAAATTCTTTGCCCATTATAAAATTGGGATGTGCTTTTGTTGTTGAGTTGTGTTATAGGTTGAACTGTGTCTCCCAAAAAGACATGTTCAGGGCCGGCCCGGTGGCGCACTGCTATAGTGTGCCGCTTGGGAGCGCTGCGGCGCTCCCGCCAAGGGTTCGGATCCCACATACAGACCGGTTCCCGCTCACTGGCTGAGCGAGGTGCGGGCGCAGCACCGAGGGTTGCGATCCCGTTGCCGGTCCCGGTCCGGTACGGGCGCGACACTGAGGGTTGCGATCCGTTGCCGGACACGAAAAAAGACAAAAAGCCAAAAAAACAAAAAAACAAAAAA